AAAATATTACCCCCAAAAACTGAATTTAGCATTATAACTTTTCGATTCAAACTCGTTTAAATGGTAGTTAATTAATGGTTTAACTCATTAAATGGTTGTCAAGTAATGGTTTAAATTGTAGTTTAACTAATTAAATCTTTGCTAATTAACGATTTAACTCATTAAATTGTTGTTAATTGATGCTTTAAATCATTAGATGGTTGTTAATTGATGGTCTAGTTGCTTCTTATATCAGAGTAAATCCAGACAGCCCACACCGAGAATCCAGATAATGCGATAAAACTATTTTATTACCATTACTCCATTGTATCGCCATAATCTTTTTTCTTTCAACTTTTTTATGTGTCTTTCTCTGGTGTTTTTTCTTTTTTGTCGCTATATTTTAAAACGTTTTAGTTTTGTTTTTTGAGAATTTTTCATTATATTTTAAGACATTTTATTTTTTTGTTTTTGCTCTAGTTTTTGCTCTAGTTTTCTCTATTATCTATCATTTGTTTGTGAAGGCACGTGTTTCAACCAACTGCTCTCTATAAGTACATGCAAGATGATTTTATTTTCTGTGGAAAAAATTTGGTCTGACCTCCGCGAGTAAAAATTTTTTTTTACAATGTCGCCGAGTAAAAATAAAATGAGTTTTGTTGGTTTTTTTTGTGTTTTGTTGCAAAAAAGTCATTATTGTTATTTCTATGTAAATAAAAATCGTTATTATTATTTCTATGTTTCAGAAATTGTTAGTGTTTCTATGGTGACAAAAATGGTTACTGTTAATTCTATGTTACAAAAACTCTTGTTATTTCTATGCTAATAAAAATTGTTATTTTTATTTTTATGTTATAAAAACTGTTATTTGTTTTATGTAACTAAATATTGTTTTTATTATTTCTATGTCACAAAAACTGTTATTTTTTCTATGCTAACAAATATTGTTATTTTTATTTCAATGCTACACAAACTGTTATTGTTTCTATGTTACCAAAGATGTGTTTATTTTTATCATTGACAATTTTTTTTAAGATACAGTTAAATCAAACATAAACCGTCTCAAAATCTTTTGCCACGTTTTGCTTTTAAAGAAAACATTTTAAAATTTTGTCATTTTTTAAATAGAAATTTTCAAATAGAAAAAAATTTAGCATCAAAATATACATGCAAGTTTATTTCTAAGTAATTTATTGTTTGCGAATACGTATGGTGAAAAGTTTTTAAGATTATGTTTTATGCGTGTGCGTGTGCGTGTGTGTGTGTGTGTAAGAGAGAGAGACAGAGAGAGAATGCATGTGTGTGTGTGTGTGTGTGTGTGTGTGTGTGTGTGTGTGTGTGTGTGCATTTAATAATTTATGCGTTTATAAAATCTTTTAAATAACGTTTTTATTGGTAATGAATTTTATTTTCTTACATTCATACTTACATATATTAAATATATGCATAGATAAATGCATAGATACATAGGTATATTCACATATACACACATACATACACACACACACACACACATGTGCACCCAAATACGTGTATCTTTGTAAATATATGTATGACTGCATATATTTTATGTATACAAAAACCTAATCTACAGCATTTTTTCTAAGTTGTTGTTTATGGCGATGTTGTCTTTGTTAGTGTTGTTGCTTCATTATTCGACTTTTAAAGGTTGCGTTGTTTGTTGTTGTTGTTTTTGTTGCTGTTGTTGTCTAGTTGTAATATGTGTATATTTATAAATTAGTTTAGTTCAGTTGTCGGGTTTTGATGTCTTGAGTATGGCCAAAAGCATCGTGGCATGATGTATTAAAAACTTTTTTTGCTGATTTAAATTAAAATGCCGTTTCGACTCTTTTTGTTTTGTTTCAATGAGTTGTTGTTGTTGGAGGTTGTGTTTTCGTTGTTTAGGTTGTTGTTGTTTAGTAACATTTTTTCATCTCGGCACAATGCTGCTTGCTGTTTCAAAATCACCTCCTTTGTTCTCTTCAAGATATGAAAATTGTTAAAAATGGTTTATCGATTTGAACGCCGTGTATGCTATTGACTGTTTCAAGCATCCAAAAAAAACATGACCGCAGATAAATATTTTCTTGCCAAGATTTCTGCCCAACTTGTTAATGTTGTGACAATATTTTCGATGTTGTGGATGTCTTTCAGTGTTATAATCATTTTTAATGTTATTGCTGATATAAAATTGATGTAAGCTATTTATTTTTATTTTTTCGTTATCTATGTAGGTGTCGGCAATAGATTTGTTGTCTTCTGAGTCGTTGTCATTGAAAGTTGATTACGTTGTAGTTGATAGACGGGAAGAGAGCATTAATCAATACAAGTGTTGATGATTTTGTTGATTCTGTGTTGTTGTTGTTAGTGTTATTTATTGCTGTCGATGTTGCTTAAGTTTATTAGTATTGCTGTTAATGTTATGGTCTCTGTGTTGTTATTTTTGTTGTTGTTGTTAACGTTACATTCTTATTGTTGTTGTTTTTGTTGTTAATGTTACAGTCTCATTGTTGTTGTTAATGTTATTATTATTGTTATATATTTGACGTCCATTTTATTGTAACGGTTAATGCCGATTTAATACCAGCGAGGAAGATCGTTTTAATACAAAGAAATCGGGTTGCTAGTAGACGAACGGTATCGATTCAAGAAAGATTACTCTTCAAGTAACTTTTATTAGTATTTGTAGATAGTAATTATACATGTTAGTAATTTGAGTAGGCAGGTAAACCATAGCAGTAAGTTTTTAATGAACTTGTTAAGTATCGCTTGTGAAATTAAATAGAAAATTATTGAATCATATTTATCCAAATATCATCAAATGATAGAAGTTGTAGTATTAACAGTATTTGAAGTAGTACTAATAGCAATAATAAAAGTGATACTAGTAGTAGTAATAGTAGTAGCAGCAGTAATAGCAGTAGCAGCAAGAGTATTAGCAGCAGCAATAGTAGTAGTTGCAGCAATAGTAGTAGCAGTAATAGTATTAGTAGCAGCAATAGTAGTAGTAGCAGCAGTAGTAGTAGTAGTAGTAGTAGTAGTAGTTCTAAAAAAAGTAATATAATCGAGGTTATTCGATTTGTAAATGTTTGTGTGCAATGTCTAATTCTACGCCGTAATTTATATTTCATTTGCTTCTATTGGCGATGCATTTGTTAATATTCGTCGGAATGGTTCTATCTCTTTTTTTCCATTTTTACTTGTGGTTTTTGGTGTTTTTGATGTATTAGTAGTAGTAGTAGTGTAGTAGTACTACAATATGGCAAGACGTTAACGTTACATTCTTATTGTTGTTGTTGTTAATGTTATTATTATTATTATTATAGTAGTAGTAGTAGAAGTAGTAGTAGTAGTAGTAGTAGTAGTTAGTAGTAGTAGTAGTGGTAGTAGTGGTAGTGGAAGTAGTGGTGGTAGTAATAAAAGTAGTAGTAGAAGAAGAATTTATTTAAAACTTATTTTTTCAGAAGTTTATCTCGTCATTAAGTTTATTATGTTTATTATTTGAAGAGTGAATTTGTAGTAGTAGTAATAATAAATAATAATAAGAACAATAATAATAATCTAAAAGCCCTAGCAGCAGCAACAGCAGCAGCAGAAGAGGCGACAGCAGCCTCACAACAATTTTCACCGTTACGACGTGGTTTATGTTTACTTAGCTTTGTGGCGTAGATTAAGTCGCACGCATCAGAGGACTGCTGGCCAGTGTTTTATGGCAGGCGCAATTGAAAACTACCTCTCCTTTTCATTTTTATTTTTGGATAAGATAATCAGAAAATTAGTAATATGTTATTAGTGGAGAGTAATGTTAGTTTTGTAGTTTTGGATGATAAACATTACGTTATTTGCGATACGTCTGTTTGAACATTTAGATGAATTTTTTTTAATAAAATGTAAACAAGTTAAACAAAAATGTATGCCTACTTTAGATTACTAAAAACAAAACTACTCGAAGAGCATATTAGTAAAAAATCTTCGTTAAATTTAGGTTAGTTTTTCTCCAAGTATATAAAAAAATTTTCTTCACTGTTTTATAATAGTCTCACACTACTAATAGACACAAAATTGGCCAATTAGACTTACCCAATAAAACAACAACGGAAGAATAGAACGTTGAATTTCAGAATTAGGAATAATTTTTATCCCATAATAAACATTTAAATGTAAATAAAACAACGTCAACAAAGAAAATAGGACAATTAAAAGTCTGAATTTTAAAACGCGTCCACCAATTACGTCATTCATGTATGTGATGTCCGTATGGAGAACATTTTTCAAGACCATTTTTACTCTCATCAGAACACAATAAAAAAAAATTGGACAAACGATAAAAATTGTTTGACAAAATTCTATTTTTATTATTTTTAGTGTTCCTTACTAGTGAAGTGACTTTATCTTTTTTCCTATTTCATTATCATACCGACAAAATATTCATTTATTTACGTTTTAATAGATTTTTATTACTTTAACCTGACGACAATTATTGCATATTAGCTTATTAGAACGATTAATCTCATAGGCAGGCATGTGATACATAGATTCGCAAACATTGCACGCGATAGGTGGAGTCGAATCCAGTGACTGCAATACAAGTGCCGGGTACTTTACCGCTACGTCACTGCACAGCCGAACAACGACGTATGTTACTTCGTTACTTAATTAATTATCATTTTTAAATGTCTCAACTCAATGAGGAAATAGCTTTGAGGATGTCAACACAAATAACAATGTCAATGGTATCTGTGATCACCAAAACATCAACAACAACATTAACAACAACAACAACATCAACAACAACATCAAAAACATCAACAACGTTAACAACATCAACAACATTAACAACAACATCAAACGGATGGTGTATGAAGCACTACAACAACAAGAACATTATTATCAACATCAAAAACATTAACAACATTAACAACAACGACATTAACAATAACAACACCAACAATATTACATGCCTTCTTGACAAGTTGGTCCATGGTAATAAGTAGCTGAACAATCGCACGCAACATTTTTATTTAAATGTTCTTCGTGCTGACGTTTGTGTTGTCGCTGTTGTTGTTGCTGCTGTTGTTGCTGCGACTGTTGCTGCTGCGACTGTTGTTGCTGCGGTCGTTGCTGATACTGCTTATTTTGTGGCTGTCGTCGTGATAAGAGTTTTTGTTGGTTGTGGTCATTATAATCAAACTGGATTGACTTTTGAGGATCGAGAAATTTTCCTCTCTTATACTTTTTCCAATAAATCCACTTTTCATTGCCATCATCGTCACCATCATCATCATCTTCTTCATCTTTATTAACATCATCGTTGTCGTCGTCTTCGTCATCATTTTTTCCGACACATCTCCCGCCATTTTTGCACGGGTTATTCATTGCACATTCGTCGAGAAGGGTGGCCATATTTTCCAAAAATTGATCGGCCAATGGGGTTGAGTCTACTATT